CGGACGCGCGTCCAGGCCTCGGGCGCGTTCGGCGGCGGCGCCCGCGGCGCGCCGCGCGCGCGGTCGACGGCGTAGCCGCTGATCGCCGCGCCGTTCGCCGCGGGCGGCGCCCAGGCGACGCGCACGGCGACGGTGACGTCCGCCGGGGGCTTCACGGAGGCCTCGAGGGTCGCTGCTTTCGAGCGCACGGTGCCCCGCGGCGCGATTAGCGCCGCGAGGTCCGCGGCGCCCCGTAACCGGCAGACGCTCGCGCGCGGCGGCCGCGGCGCGTCCGGCGCGTCCGCTAACGTGGAAAACGCCACGCCGCGCTCGAGCTCGGCGCCCTCGGGGGGCAGGAGCCGGCTCGAGTCCACGGACTTGCCGCACGCGCGCCGGCACCGCTGCCGCGTCCGCGCGGTCATGCGCAGCACCGCCGTGTACGTCGTCGCCGGCCGCAGGCCCGGGATCACCGCCGCGTGCAGGTCCGGCGCGCCGGTCGCGTCCGGCGGGTGGCGGTCGCGCGCGTCGCCGTCGAACTCCGGGTCGTCGTCGTCCGCGGGGCCGAGCTCGAGGTAGACAACGCGCGGCGCCGTCGGGTCGTCGACGTCCGGCGGCGCGCCGAGCCAGCCCAGGAGGCTCAGGGGCTCCGCCTCGGCGCCCTTGAGCGCCTGGCCCGCGCGCGTCGCGACGTCGCGGAGCGCGTCGCTCAGGCCCAGCGCCGCGGACCGCGCCCGCTAGACGACGACGCGGACGGGCGGCGGCGGCGGCGGCAGCGCGACGGGCCGCGCGGCCTCCTCGCGCTCCAGCGCCGCCTGGGCCGCGGCGGCGGCGCGGAGCTCGTCGTCGGCGAGCTCCTCGGCCTCGTAGATGCGCCTAACCAGCGCGCGCGCCTCGCGGCCGCGCGCGCGCGCCTGGATCCGCGCCGCGGACTCCTCGCGCGCGTCGACGCCGCGCGCGTGCGTCACGTGGAAGGCGCTGTAGAGCACGAGCGCCAGCAGGAACGCCTGGCGCTCGCGCTCCGGGTGCGCCTCCGGGGGCACCTCGGGGAGCTCCTCCGCGGCCTTGGCGGCCTCGGCCTCCGCGATTTTGGCCTTCTCCTCGTCATTGGGCTCCTCCGTCTTCCCCGACTTCTCCGTCTTCTCGTCGTCCTCGGCGACCTGGCGCGGCGGGCGGTACTTCTCCGCGAGGGCCGCGGCCTCGAGCAGGGGCTCGCTGAGGAACTCGTTCCGCGCGACGGCCGCGACGACGAGCGCCGCGCGCGCCGCGTCCTGCTCCTCGATGTCGTAGCCCGCGTGCCAGCGCGAGTTCGCCGCCCGCAGGCGCTTGAGCCCCCGGTCCGCGGCCTCGTCGGCCGCGCGGATCGCGCCCGACAACTTCCGGCCCGTGACGCGCGACTCCTCGAGGCACGCGCCGAGGGGCTCGCAGTAGCGCCGCGCGGCGACGTCGAGCCAGACGAGGTCGATGGCGGCGTTTGCCGCCGCGGCCTCCTTCTTGGGCTTGCGGTCCGCGTTGCACTCCGCGATGACGCGCCGCGCGGTCCGCCGGTCGTCGTCGCCGGACACGCGCGCGTCCTCGAGGCGGTGCAGGACGCCCACGGTCTCCGCGGGCGGGATGGGCTGGCGGCCCAGGCCCTTGGTGCCGCCCGACGGCGGCGCCTTCGCCTCCTCCGCGTCCTTCTTCGCCTCGCCGGCCTCCGCGTCCGCTTTGGCCTCCGCGGCCGCGGCCTTGGCGCCCCAGCGGCCCTGGCTCGCGCGCTTCGCCGCGGCCTCCTCGCGCTTGCGCTGCTGGCGCATCTTGTACCAGCCGTCGCGGTTCAGCAGCGCCAGCGCGCGGCAGTCGATCGCGCGGCGCGCGGCGATCTTCGCCCACTTGGCGACGTCCGCGACGCGCCAGAAGTGGGCCAGGGCGCAGTGCCGCGCGACGGCGAGGCGGCGCTTGCGCTGCTGGGCCGCCAGGGTCCGCGCGCGGCGCCGCTCGATGCGCTGGCGCCGCACGCCGGGCAGGTTGTTCCACCACTTGCGCCGGTGGTACCGCTCGACGCGCGCGAGCGACCGCTTCCACCCCGCGAGGGCCTCGGGCGACAGCGACTCCTCGAAGCGCCGCCGCGCGCGCTTCGCGCGCTGCGCCTCCGAGAGCTCGGCGTCGGGCATCTCCTCGTCCTCCTCGACCTCGTCGTCGTCGACGCCGGACTTCTTCGCGTCGTACCTGGGCGGGAACAGGGCGCGACGTTCCAAAGGCTCCTCGCTCGGCCGTGTTCCACCCGTGTCGGCGGTTTTTGGGACGAGCGCCCATCTCTCGGAGCGCGCTCGAAGCGGAGACGCTTGTGCTGGAACGCGCGCGCGCGGCACGCTCGCGTCGAAGCGACGTCGAATCGCCCCGTTCCCGCCCCGCGGCGTACGCGAGCTGCGCGGCGACGGCCGCGGAGACGACGGCGGCCCGGGGCTTCGCCGGCGTCGTCGGGCTCGCGGGCCCGTCGTCGTCGCGCGCCGCCGCCGGCGTCGCCGGGGCCTCGCGCGCCGCGGGCGCCTTGTCCGCCGCGGCGCGCTCCGGCGCCGGCTTCTCGACGGCCTCGCCGCCGGGGGCCTCCGCGGCCTTCGCGTCGGGCTTCGCGGCGCCCTTGGACGCCTTGGACGCGTCGTCCTTCTCCGGCGGCGCCTCGGCGGCGGCGGCGACTGCGCCGTCGCCGCCGCCGAGCGCCTCGGCGACGCGCGCGAAGCCGCCCGAGCCGAGCTCCAGGAGCGCGGCGAGCTTCGGCCGGAGCTCGATGACGGCGTGGCGCCGCTTCGCGCGCGCGGGCTCCAACACGTAGAAGAGCTCCTCGGCGTTGGCCCGGTCGTGGGGGTCCGGCTCGAGGGCCGCGCGCAGGAAGACGCGGATCGTTTGGCCGACGCGCGCCGGCAGCCGCGCGAGCGCCCACTCGAGCCCCAAATCCTTGAGCGGCGGCGCGCCGCCGTCGCCCAGGGGCACGCGCGTCGCCGCCTCCCAGATGACGCAGCCGAGGCACCAGGCGTCGGCCTTGGTGCGCAGGTCCGTGAACCCCTCCGGCGGCTCGTAGCTCGCCTGGGCAGCACAAGGGTGATTCAACGTCGCTTCAATGTGAGTGTTCCGCGCGCGCGCGATCCAAAAAAAGCAGCCACGCTTCGAGACCGTTCCGAGAGATGATCGCTCGTCCAAGAATTAGCCGAAACGAGTGGAAAATGGCCGAGATCGGAGCCTTTGAAGTTGGGAATTTCGCTCTCTTGAGCTGCCCTGTAGCTCGCCGGGCACCACGCGGGCCGCGGCCGCCGCGCGAGCTCCCGGAAGCCGGCGCCGGCGTGGGACGCGCGGCGCCCCGGCGTCGACGTGGCGTCCTCGAGCGTCGACGCGCCGCCGGAGCCGAGCGTCGACGCGCCGAGCGTCTCGTCCTCGAGGTCGTCGTCGTCGTCGTCGTCGTCGTCGCGCGCGGCCGCGCCGTCGCCGGCCTCCTCGGGGAAGAGCAGGTCCTCCGGCGCCCGGGGCTCGCAGCGCCGGAAGTCGCCGAGGAGCACGCCGTAGCAGACGCCCGGCGGCGGCGGGAGCGTCAGCACCTTGACGGCCTCGTCGTCGTCCTCGGCGTCCCGCTTCTTCGACGACGCGGCCTTGCGCGCGGCCTGCTTCTTCGTGAAGCGGCCGGCCTTGGCCTTGTCCGGCGTCGCCGCGGCCTCGACGGCGGCCTTGCGGCTCTGCTCGATGGCGAGCTCCTTCGCCTCGGCCTCGGCCTGCTTCCGCGCGTCGACCTCCTTCGCGTACCGCTCGAGCTCCTTCTTGTGGTGCGCCTCGTCCTCGGGCCAGAAGCCCTGCTTCGACAGGATCACGACGTCCGGCGTCGGCCCGCCGAAGGCGTAGCCCCCGCGGTGCACCGCGCAGAGCCCGAGGCAGAGGTCGCACGCCCACCTGGGCAGGACGCGACATTCCCAACTCCAAAGGCTCCTATCTCGGCCGTTTTTCACTCGTTTCGGCTGATTTTGGGACGAGCGATCATCTCTCGGACGGTCTCGACGCGTGCATGCTTTTGCTGAAACGTGCGCGCGCGGAACACTCACGTTGAAGCGACGTTGAATCACCATGTTCCCGCCCCGACGCCCGCCGGTGCAGGTCGCGCTCCGCGACGCGCCGCTTCGACGCCAGGCGCCGCTCGAGCGTGCCGCCCTCGACCCAGTGCGTGACGAGGGCGCTGTCACCGGACCCGCCGGGTCCCGCGAGGGGCGCCGCGCCGCTCCGCCGGTAGCCGCGGAGCCGGCTCACGGACCGCGCCGCGCCCGCGGCCGCGACCTCCACGGTGAAATCATCGGAGCTCCTCGGCCGCGCCGGCGGGCCGGGCTGGCCGAGGCGCAGGGCCGCCGCGTGGGGGAGCGCCGCGCCGAGGAGCGCGGCCGCGTCCTCGAAGAGCGCGACCTCGCAGACCTCGGGCGCGGCGGCCGCCGCGGCCGTCGCCGCGCGCTCGGCCTCGCGGCGCCGCCGCCGGTCCACGGGTGGCGCGCCGGGCACCTGCTTGAGCACGGGCTTGTGCTTCTTGAAGGCGAAGACGGTCTGGAGCTCGCCGACGCCGAGCGGGTAGAAGCACCGGAGGCCCCGCGTGGGCGTGCACAGCGCCTCGAGCTCGCCCTTGAGCTCGCCGGCGAAGGACCTAGGGCGCGGCGTTGTTTAATGCCGTCACACGCGATATGGGACGCGGCGGCGCGCTTGCCCTTGACGAGCGCCAGGGCGCCGAGCGCCGGCCGGTCCACGGGCGGCAGCATCTCCGTGCGGTAGTGCTCGAGGCGCAGCGCGTCGAGCTCCGGGATGCCGTCGACGGCCGCCGCGTCGGCGTCGTCCTCGTCGACGAGCTGCGAGACGTCGTCGTCCATGGCCGCCGCGGCCGGCGGCCGATTCGAAAGGCCAGCCCAGCGCTAGCAAGGCTGCCCTAAAGTTCAACGCCAGGTCAACCACCGTCCGTGAAGTCGACCTTTTCGATCCTCGAGCGCGCATCCCCTTCGATAACTCGTCCAACCACCGTCGGCCTTTTAGATGACGCCCCCGGCGGGCGCCTGGGGCGCGAGGCCCGCGTCGTCCGCCGTCGCGGACGAGAGGAAGTTCTCCCGCGCGGCGATGACGTTCGGGTGCTTGAACGCCGCGAAGACCTCCTCGATGGGCTTGCCCGCGGTCTCCGGGAGGTAGACGTAGACGCAGGCCGCGCCCGCGAGCGTGATCGTGCCGTAGATGCTGAAGAGCAGGGGCACGCCGAGCGCGTTCGACAGCGTCAGGTAGGTCACGGAGATGAGGAAGTTCGTCTCCCAACAGAGGAAGCACGCGAGGGCCATCGCGCCGGACCGCGCGTAGAGCGGGTAGATCTCCGCGTTCACGGCCCAGGGGACGGGCGCGAGGCCCGCGCCGAAGAAGAAGAGGTAGAGCATGATGCACGCGCAGGCCGTCCAGATGGAAACGTCGTAGAACGCGGCGAACCCGTAGAGCGAGAGCGCGACGAGGAGCGTCGACGCGATGAGCACCTTGCGGCGGCCGTGGACGTCCGCCCAGGAAAAGCCGACGACGCACGCGATGCCCAAGCCCTGCATGGCCGCGCAGCAGCAGGCGAGCCAGGCGCTCTGGAGGTTCGAGAAGCCGACCTTCTCGAAGATCACCGTCGAGTAGTACATGATCGTGTTGATGCCCGCGAGCTGCTGCAGGACCATGAGCCCGCACCCGACGACCATCGCGCGGAAGAGCGGCTTCGACGAGGCGTACGCGTGCGCCGCGAGCGGCAGGATCGCCATCTCGTCGCGCGCCGCGGCGATCTCCGCCTCGATGGCCTTGAGCTCCCGGTCCACGCGCTCGCCGTCCGAGTCCGCGTCGCGGACGCGCGCGAGCACGAGCCGCGCCTCGAGCGTCCGGCCCTTGGCCGCGAGC